CGTCGTCGACTGGTACTCGGGAATCCACGAGTTGTCGTTGACGCCCGGCGCGCAGGTAGCCGGCGTCTCGAAGCCAAAGTACGAGTTGACGACGGACTGCACGACGACCATGAGGCCGACCGAGATCATCATGTTGTTCATGTAGCCCGACATGGTGGCCACGACGCGAGAAGAACGGAAATGAGCAAACTTCCCTCGAAAACACGCCAACCTGATCCGCAGTACCTGGGTTGCAAACCGAAGTTCGAAGGGCACGGCTGGGCGAAGCAGCCGCAGGACAACGAAGTTCGTAGCTTGTCAACGCTCGGCGATGAAAAGGCGCTCGCCAGCTGCAGATTTCCACCTTGACTTTGTATCCAGCTGGTGGCGCGGGGCGATCCGCTGATCCACGGAAATAGTGTATGCCGTGGCACGGACGCAAAAGCGGTCATCCGCCGTGGTTCTGCGTCCACGCCCACGTTTATTTGACGTCACCCCGTGCACGCGTGCGGCGCTCATTGGCCAAATAGGATGATGCTCGTCCATCTGTGCCAAGAGCTTTTAGGTTTGTTGTCCTTACGGCAGCAAAGTACAACACACTCTCTCAAAACGACGTTGCAGCTTACGTCTGGCACGTACAACATGTATTACGCTACGACCATAAGTATGGACGTGTGTACCGTAGCACCATCGTTGTCGGGGAGGCCAAGGCGCTGTTGCACCAAGGCGACATCTTGGTGAAGCCCCTCGCGTATTCAAGTGACGTGGATCGCGTGTGGCGACCATTGATTGGCCCTTGAGAATTTGAACTGCTGCCTGAACAAGATGAGGTGGGGCGACAAAAGCTTGAGCTTCAAAGCGTCGGTCGTCATATTTTCGTACAGTATTTCGGGATGCAGCAACGCCACGGCAATTTTGGAAATAGTGTACTACATTGTATACAAAATATGCATTTTTATCGCAGACCTCGGTCACGTAATGGTAGAGATGGCAAAGAAGGCAAATTGACAGGATGGTGGCAGCCAATTGGAGGCGACGGCAGTAATTGAAAACAGGCCGCCCTCAGCAACTCAGATCGCCAGATGGGTAGACAGGCCACAACTTGGCGCCGAGGCTGCCACGTTTGAAATTTTAAAAACCGCGACGAGAGATATCCCTCGACCAGACGCCCTCGACACCGTCATCGTCACGCCGACAACGTTGTTGCTTCAGTCGACGACATCAAGCGCACACGACGCGAGCGAGCATGCCCCGCTGATGGACGCTCCGGATGAACATGGATGCGTCAGATCCAGTGGTTTGAAGTGGCAATCACATGGCTGTCAACGACATCGGGTGGCGCAAAGGCTCGTTGCATGCTCCTTGTGAGAACCAGCCCTGGAGCTCAAGAACGACTTCTTCGTTCGGATGTCGTCACGGGACGTTCATACCGGTACGAGCCAAGCAACAACACAACGAACAACTGGAGCTGTGTGGAATAGGCAAGTGCTCAACCAAGACCTGCGACGGCTACAAATTTGCGATGGCACGGTAAGCTGAGCGGTACGAATCATGATGGTGTGTTGTAGCGAGAACGCAGGACGACCAAGAAGCCATCTTCGAAGTCTTTGGTGGCTGTTATGGCCATCACACATCAAGTGAGCCGAAAGGAGAGAGGTTTGTTGGTACGGTGATGCAAGGTTCCAGTATAAAGCAATTCATGTGCCGGGGGTTGAGGACCGAGCAGCCTAGAGCTCACACAACCACCGTACTAGTACAACACTCACTGTACGTCATTAACCCTATTGGATGTTATGCCAGTAAAATTTACTGGTATGATTGCTGTTGATTAACGTTGAGAGGATTTGAGCTCGACGTGGTGTGTCATGCTGCATCGCTTTTCGACAAGATTGATGAGCAGTCACGTTTTCGCAAGCGTCGTGCGTTCGGGCGTTTGAGCAGATCGCCTCGCTTCTTCCCATTGTGTCGGTTTGAGTTAAGGCGTGGATTGAGCTCTTGTGGGTCGTGAGGCACTGCTGGAAATGCAGGGCAGTGACAGGGGCTTTGTCGAGCTGATGTGAACGGGTCGTCATCGGACAACCAGACCGCTAGAAAGCCTGGGGTAACGGTTCGTCTAGTCTGCACTACGAGGTTCAAATACAATACCGGCAGCATAGTACCCCAGATACGGAGAGCGCGACCATTGGCGGCTCTGCACGAAGTCCTTGATAAAAGGCTCATCCGCCACGTTGCCTTGTTCAGCTTCCATGGCCTAAGCTTCTAGCCTGCCATTATGGCGTACTAGTACTCTACAATACAACCAACTATGTGCTTTCTGGATAACGACTCTCGCCCCGACGCGATGCCGAAGCCACCACAAGCGGGCTTCAAAGAATATGAGCCGAGTAGGCATCTCGGTTCCGGGAGCGTCGCTGGCAATGGTGGCATCGCAGCGCATGTAAATATCAGAGCTCGGGACGAAGGGCGGCCTCGAATGCCAATGTGTTGACGTAGTTACTGCCGATCGATCAGCTGCGGGACTCGGGCTACGTCGTCCGGGTGCTTCAACACGAAGTCAACTGCATTCCACTCGCAAGCTCCTTCATGCATGTAACCTCACAATGGCTAAGCTTATAAGATTAGCATTTTGCGATAAATCAGCTCCCTGATTGAGACTGAGTCTAACGCTACTTTAATAAAACAAAGCGGTTTGGAGGAGCCCTACCGGTGGTTTCAGGCTATTATGCTGGCGGGGGCTTCCTTGTGTGGCTTGAGATCGTTTACCTTCGCTCAAACCGCTACCCAAGAATTAGGTGTACGCAGCATTTGGGCTACCTATCGGTACTACCGGTAGTAGTGCAAACCAGTCGACACTAACGTTATCACCACAGTGTGATGGGTCCCATACCGGTAGCTTAGTTCTCAAGTCACCTACTGAAATCAAACCAACGACGTTGTGCCCAAAGCCGCCAGGAGCTTGTAAACTATTAATTTCTTGGTGAGCTTAGCTTGTGTTGCTAGCCTCCTCGGGATTTCCTGCAAGTCGATATCTGCGTTTGCCCGGACACGCGAGAAAGAGGAACCTCATGACCCGGTGTATAGGTATTCGATGGAGCGTCCACTCGAAGCGAGTACGTACCGTATGTGCGCAATCTGGCACGTCGATTGCACATTCATTTCCGTTCAAAGCACGTCGGTACTCGACGCGGAGCGCATTTTGATAGTTCGATCCGATTCGCCAGGCATGGCTCTCGGTCGCTTCGTACATGTATTAAATGTATTAAGACATTAAGACATTGCTATGCTCTAGTATCGGTATTGCCAACACCGCATCCAAGATGCCCAATACCGTATTGGGCATCTTTTGGTGTGCATTTTCATGGACACGGAAGCGAAATGGATACAGCGTGGGCACGCGAGAGACATTCGCGTGCTGTTCAACTCATCAACTCAAAGCGGCAATAAGCTCAGTTTCTCTCCTGCGCAAAGGCGACGGCGTTCGCAGCTCATAAACAACCCCAGCCGAACCGCCTGATTAGGACGCCCTGGAGTCAACCAACACCGTCTAATAAGCCCAGTGCCGGTATACGCGCTCTTGATCACACCTTGCACTCACTGTCTCGCGCAGCTCGCCAGCCATCCTCGCACCACGTGGCTCTCCCAGCGATGAGCGTGACCAATGGTGTGATCAAGACGCAATTTATGGCTCTCATGCAAGTCGCGCAGAGCTGCCGCGCGGTGGCACAATACCACCACAACACTTGACGCAGCGCTGCACTTCAGGAGATGCTAATGAGCTGCAGCGTGCATGGTAACGCTTCTTGCCGACGAGCAGTTCAACTCGGAGCTATGTCGCGTGGCTACACACCCCTCTTACGAAGCCAAACGTCGTCCGGTGTTATAACACCAGCGTCGCAAGAACTTGAAGCAGACTGTGTACTTGCGATACAAACTTGAAGGTTAAACATGACGAAGATCGCCACGTCGGCCGGGTCCGCGGGCTCTATGCACCACACATCAATAGGGGCCGTGACTTCGAGACGTTTCTCTACGGCTGCCTTCCTTCAGGACGTGCCATTTCTACGCGCCCGCGCATAAACCCTTCACGAGTCAAAGACTTTCGAACCCAATTGTCGCTCGCAGAACCGAGCGTCTTCCCCTGTAGTATAGCCGCCGCCTTTGTTTCGACGCCCGCGCGAGACACGCATTGCCATCATCGATGCGCTGAAGCTCGGGTTTGCGCAGCACGAAGCCGACCACAGGGCGGATGCAGGCCGGGGGGCGCCGGCTGTAACGCGTTATAACACAGCAACTTGCTGAAACTCCAAAGTTCGTGTTGTGCGACATGTGTTATAACGCGAGGCGACCAGTCAGTCAGTATAGATTTGGTCCGTTGACAAGAAAACGCACGTCTGCTATAAAACGTGGCCCACGACATGGACCAATGAAACCGCGTTCAGGGGTGTGCTAAAAATAGCCGCCAATCATCGACCCGATCAAGCCAGATGCTACCCACCAATCGTAATGCGCCATACCGTGCGATGTGCCATGCGATTGGCGCCTGGGTTTCTCGGCGCCTTTGATTGGCCAAAGCGTTGCCAAGAGAGACGCGCGGGGTCGCGTGTCTATACTGCGCATACAAACGCCAAGAGGCTGCTTCGGTGCAAAATCACGGCTCGCGCCTGCTGCATTTTCTTTGTGCGTTCTATCTTTTGGCTCTCGGGCAGTATTCTCGACTTTGGCGAGTGGTTCATAGCAGCAGACCAACAGGACAACGATGATGACATCACAGGCCGCACCGGCGTGGACGCCTGTCTCCCACGCACCGGCGGCTGTCTCGACGATCGCCATTCCGATCGCGCTGCGGCGCGAAATGCGCGCGCGAATCGTCCAACTCCTTCAGCAACGCAGCCGTGCGTCGGCTGCCTCGACCGGGCACCTCCAAAAGGTCGCCGCCCGCATTGACAACCGGTTGGTGCAGCTCGCGGGTTCCTGCGCCGAGTACCAGGACCTTTGCACGCTGCCCAAGCGCGTCCATGCGAGCGCGCTTGAGATTTGCGACGCGCTGGCGAAGAAGCGCCCGGCCGAGGTCGTCGACGAGTCGCGCAAGCGCCCACACCACATGACGTACGCCAACGACGGCGAGGCAAGCCCGCGCGAAGGCTATTCGTCGGACGAACAGTCGTCGCCCGTGCCGATCCAAGGCGGCGTGCTCGTTCAGAAGAGCCTCTCGCGCTCGTACTCGCGTCGAACAAAGGCCAAGCTGAGCCCGACGCCCGTGCCGCGCTTCAACGGCGTCATCCCCATGTCGCTTCTGTGCACTCCGATTTGCACGGAGCAGGAGCGCTTGACGCTGACGCTGTCGATGGACACGCTCGGCGAGATGCTCTCGGGCCAGCGTCCGTTCCTTCCGGGCTTTACGAGTGTCGAAGTGCTTACGATCCAGCCGGCGTCGGTCAACAACTTGTCGGCATCGACGGCGATCTGCCACGCATTCGCTTCGTTCCTCAGTGGCGGCGGATGCCGCAGTGTCAAGTCGCTGACCATGTCGGGCATCTTCCCGACGCTGGCGCCGACGCTGCAGCACCCATTCAACTCGCTCTTTGACGCGTTTGCGAGCGGCGCGTGCCCGAACTTGACGCAGCTCCACTGCAAGGGCAACGCACTGGGCGATGCCGGCGCGACGGCCATGAGCCTTTGGCTGGCCAACGCCTCGAGCAAGCTCGACACGCTCTCGCTGGTGGGCAACCAGATTGGTGATGCGGGCGTCTTGGCGCTCGCGTGGGCCTTCTCGCGCCGCGGCGGCACGATCACCACGATCGATCTCGGCCAGAACGTCATCCAGGACAAGGGCGCGGGTGCGCTCGCCGCAGTCTTCAAGTCGGGTGGCTTCTCGTCGCTGCAAGTGCTGCACTTGCGCAACAACTCGATCGGCGCCGCGGGCGCCAAGTGTCTTCTCAAGGCGATCCGGTCGTCGCCCGAGCGATTGCCGCTGCGGGAAATGAACATTGACGCGTCCGTGCTCCAGCAACTCCAGCGTGCGGCGTGAGCACGTATTATTTTATTTTAATTATTTTGAAGCAAATGGCAATATTAGAATGTAGTTTTTATCTGAATCTTTGTATGTCTTGTCTTTGCGCCGTGTTGAAAAAGACGCCAACTTGACCGCTGCGTGGCTTTGTCTCGAGTAGCTTGGTGCGTGGCCGTGCGACGACCTCGCTGGCCCCCTGCAGAGACCTGCCGTCTGGCCATCATATCAAACACATCATACAGGAAGCTCCACGAACACCCGCAGAAGAAGCAAAGGAATGAGCCAACATCTCGTCGGCGTATCTGTATTAATCCTTCAAGCGTGCGATGGTACGCAGCACATGGTAGAATGAACTGTAGTAGTTACAGCATCGGCTACAGCTCGAAACTCTTGCGGGCCTCTGCATCACAGAGCTCGTAGATGGTCGAGCGCAGCTGGTGCAGCCGGTCAGGAGCTGTGCTAATGGCATGCGTGTGCCACGTGCCAGCGTCGTGGCGGCGGAGCGTCCGTACGGGCACGATCATGCGCACGACACCTACGCCATGTAACCATGCGCTTGAATCATAATGGAGCGCTAGGATCTTTACTCGTGACAAAGGCGGCTTCCCACGTCGCGCTCTCTTCCAGAACAGGGGGCTCGTGCACGACCGGAATGCAAAGGTGTTCGCACGCTCGAAGCACAAGCTCCCGCGTGCTGCCAAGCAAGACGTCATCGCCCGCAGTGCAGAGGCGTCCATTTTGCACTACTCCATCGCAGCGCACGTTAGTGCAAGACGATGAGGGGTGGGCTCACATACAAACAAAGAAGTTGGTGATGAGGCCTTCGAGGAGCCGGTGGGAATCACTCGTAGCATCCCGTTGACTCAAGAGCACTTCGCCAAAGCTACCAAGGCCTAGCTCCGCTGCCTTCTCTGCGGCCGCGGCCTCGAGG